CTAATTGAATCTTCAAACCACTTTTTCTCCGAAGTAATCCATGTTTGTCCAATTCCAACTTGTTCCACTCGTGCAGGAGGTACCGTGTATAGCGTGATTCATTAGATGTTTTTTCCGAAGTAGGTCTCTCTTTCGATTCAATCCATTTGATCACCTTGCTAATTTCTGTGTCATCTCTTTGGGCAAGTGCGATCTCGTCACAAGAAATGGTGTTCATGGAAACATTGTTAATGTGCTTCATATCTTCTTCTAACACATCCTGATTTGTAGTAAAAGCTGTGATCCAGCTGATGTTACTCGCTTGCTGTTCCAAAATTGATGACTACGGCTTGGAGAGTATCCATTGCAATTTCCTCGGTGCACATCTCCATGTAACTATCGACATTTGGCAACAACCTTGACAGCGCGTCTGCATCAGTGTTCACTTTACCGGGGCGGTATTTGATAGTAAAATTGAAATCTGCCAGTTCTCCGACCCAACGTAAACCCGTTGCATTAAGTTTTGCGGAAGACAAGATGTATGTGAGTGGGTTGTTGTCAGTATACACTGTAAATTCCGAGGCATAATACAAATAGTCTCGAAAATGGTCACAAATCGCCCACTTTAGTGCAAGAAATTCCAACTTGCTCGAATGGTGATGGTAATTTCTTTCGGCGGGTGTCAAGCTTCGAGAAGCATACGCAATAACTCTTGTTTCACCGTTTTGACTTTGGTACAGGACGGCTCCCAGTCCCTCTTCAGACGCGTCAGTGCACACAATAAACGGTTTGGTAAAATCTGGGTAGGCCATCACAGGTGGGTCAACCAAATGATCTAACAGGTCTTCAAGGATGAGTTGATGATCGTTAGTCCACTGCACAATAGTACTAGAGGGTAACTGTCCTTTCGATTTCATATTATGTTTGCTATTTCCTGTCTCTACACCGTCACTCTTAATTAGATCGTATATTGGTTTCGCTTTTCTAGAGAAATTTGGAATGTATCTCCGATAGCAATTTAGCAGTCCCATTAAACGCCTAACATCACCAACGTTTTTTGGAGGGGACGGCTTCAAATGGTGGATAACCTCTACGCCTGCAGGGTCCATTCGATAACCGCTTTCTGAAACAATACGTCCCAAAAACACTACTTCTCTCTCGAACAACTTACACTTTTGAGGCTTTAGCTTTACCCCATTTTCCCTTAAACGCTGAAATACCTTCCGAAGATGTTCCACATGATCCTCGAACGTGGCACTAAATACGATGACGTCATCAAGATACGGGATACATATTGTGTCGCGCAAGTCATCCAAACAGTTTTCCATGAATCTTTGGAATGCCGCTGGGGCATTACAAAGACCGAATGGGATTCGAACCCATTCATATAAGCCCCAGGGGGTTATAAAGGCAGTTAGGGCTTGGCTCTCCTCACTCATAAACCCTTGATGGTATGCTTTTCCTTGGTCCAATACTGAGAACCATGAATTTCCCCCAAGACTGTCAAGTGTCTCTTGGATCCTGGGTATAGGGTGGCGATCTGGGATGCTTTTTTTATTTAGTTCTCGATAGTCGATGCAGAGCCGAAGCGTTTGGTCCTTTTTCCGGACACATACTACAGGTGAACTGTAAGGGGATGTTGACTTCCTGATGAAGTTCTTATTCAAGAGATCTTCAACATAACTTTTAACCTCAGGATAAAGCGGTCTTGGCACTGCTGTGTAGTTCTTTTGTACTGGTGTCTCATCGTTCAATTTGATTGTTACCTTCAGATCTGGGATACACCCAATGTCATCATCGTTCTGTGAAAATGCGTCCGCTTCTTGAGCTAACATCCTTAGCGCAACTGATCTTTGTTCTGGTGTTAACCCCTTTAAGTCAATGTTCTTGATGTGGTCAGGGATGCCCACCGTGGGCTGGGTTTCATTAGTGAAAGCAACAGAACATTCACTAACTTTACAAGTTTGGTCTACCTGAGAACCATTCTCAACGGTTTCCTCTCTCAATTTTACTGGTATTGCGGTTACAGACCGTACCAGTTGTAATCGTCCTGACACTGTCCGTCGCTTAATAACAATATCATGATTTATTGGGTTATTCGCCTGCACTTCGATAAAATTAGTCTTCCCTTTCTTTACTGTTAGCAATGTCTCATTGATTTCTAGGCAGGAGGGCCAAGGCATTGTTTCATCTGGTTCGAATAAAACTGGGGTAGTCCCACAAATTGGACCTGTATTAACTCGACACTGAATGTTTACCTGTTTACCACTTGGTATAACAACGTCTCTTTTGCTTGTTTTTACATTGCATAAATAATCACTGTCAGCACTTTGAACAAAGTTAATTAATGCTTGTGCTGCACCATTGTCAAGTCCAACAAATGAAGATTGAATTTCTGACAATAAATCATTGTGTTCATTTGTCACAATTTCTTGAATCACATTGTAGCCTATTATTGGGTGCTCAATTGTTTCAGTTGTAACCAAAAATGGCACGCGTACCTGAGTGTTCTTTGAAGACAAGGTAAATGCTAATTCAACCCAACCAATATATGGTGTAACACTACCATTTGCTGCTGTGAGTTTTAGGTCAGTCTCGACAAGTTCCGACAAACTTCTTATTTGTTTTATTGGGTGACTTTGTGTCAAAAACCTTTCTGAAACCAAAGACACTTGGGCCCCTGTGTCCCAAAGCACATTAACTTCTTTATTGTCTAATTTCCCCAATACTATGCATTTTCTACCAATTATCTGTACCAGTTTATTCTGTTGACTTGGAGTTAGGTGGGTTGCAAAGAATTCCAAGTTTGCATTGTCTTTCATATCCTTGTGATTAATGCTTTGCAAGGCAACACATGTTGCTTTGTGATCATGCCAATGTTTCCTTTGACATTCCCGGTCACAATAATAAACAGCTTTGCATTGTTTACAACAAAGGATAGTGTCATGTACATGGAGTTTTTTGCAAAACGCACATTGAGGGGACGTTTGTTCTATGTTCTTGGCCATCTCCTGTCCCTCGGAAATGGCCCCTGTTCGTTTTCCGCCTTCCTTTGTGGGCAGTGACTGGCTAAATGTCCAGCCTGACAGCAAATAAAACAATGTCTGCAAGTATTTCCATTGTTTTCTCTTCTACATTTGGGGCAACCCCATGGATATCTTGGCTGGAACGGTGCATTACTCTTAGACACCTGTTCCTCAACCTTTGCTTTAAGGGAACTTAATTCAGACTTTATTCCCTTGATCTCTGCAAGGAGGTCCTGTTTTTCACTGATTTCTGGGGATGTCCCCTTTTTCCCTTTTGCCCCCTCAACAGAACTCACCTTGGCACTTTTCGCAGACAGCCTCTCTGTTAAACCAAGCTTGTTTTCTCTCTGGGTCTTTTGGGAGGCAAGTTCATTGATGCTTCGCATAAGTTCCTCATCAGACACACCGTCCTTTCGTAGAATTGGTCGTAAACTAGTTGTCAGATACTCATCACGAATTCCAGTTTCTAAAGCTTTCAGAAAAGTATTCTGGATTAACTGGCTACCATAGTTGAAATCAGTGTCTGCTTCCTTACTAGCAAAAACAACTTTATTTCTTGCATCCATAATTCTTAACAAGAACTGTTGCACACTTTCTTTGGGTTTCTGGCACATTGTAGTTAGTTGCTGGTACAATTCTGAAGCTGTCTTCTCGCAATAATGGATCCTTAAGATCTTTCGTAGTTGGGGAAGACCAAGTTCTGGCATTGTCTCAATGTAACTACGGAGGCTTGTGTGTGGTGAAATAGCTCGGATTACTGCATCGACAATTTCATCCTCAGTGTATTTTCGTTTGAGCCCTGATTCAATCTGGTGATTGAGAGAGATATATGTCAGTTTTTCTGCTTGTCCTGGTTCTCCAATCTGCCCCGATATCTTAAAGTCTCTTCTCAACAACGCCCGGGTACTTGAAGGCACTTCAATCACTGATGCGTTTTCACTACTGTTTACTTTGACTTTGGCAGATTTATCATTAACTCCAATTTCCAATTTATCTATCTTCGCTTGCATTTCTAACAATTGTTTCTCTTGCAACTTTGACAATTCTCCTTCTTTCTCATTTACTGGCGATAATTCAGGAGAGCCAACAAGCGTTAAAAAAACATCGTTCAAAAGTTGATTTTTCGCCGTCGGGCTTTCAATTCCTTCGACAATTTCTTGAAGCCATCTCCGTACTAAATTTATTATCTGACCCCTCGACTTTTCTTTCAATTCTTCGATCTTTTCATACTTTAACTTCTCGGCCGCTTGCAATACAGCCAATTGCAGTTGAGCTTGCAGCTTGCATTTTAAACGCGTTGTTATATCGTTGAAAAGTATGCGTTTATTCCTTAGAAACACGCCGTTGCTAGGGGCGTAACGTGAACTTTTGGCGGGCATTGTTGAACTTCTTAACGGCGTGCAAACAAACGTATAACGAGTTAAATATATTGTAAAAACGCCGCTTAAGCCTGCGACGGAACAGTAAGGTATTTTTAGAATGCCTGCAGTCAAATTAGAACTCCCTGGTCGGTTTTGTGACAAAATCTAATTTAATATGACAAAATCTAATTTAATTCGTCAACGCCAAGAATAGAAAAACATGTTTACGTCGTTACAACGCGCGCCAAAAGTTCACGTTACGCCCCTAGCAACGGCGTGTTTCCAAGGAATGAACGCATACTTTTCAACGATGCAACAACGCGTTTAAAATGCAAGCTGCAAGCTCAACTGCAATTGGCTGTAACACATCCACATCGTTTTTATAAAGTAACTCTTCCACTTTTAGTTGTAATTCCTCGAGATTCTCCATAGTATAAACAAATACAGCAAAGTCAAAACCCTTTCGTATCGTCTTACATAATGTCGCTTATATTTCCACCAAAATCGGCTTTAATTCCATCCCTAAACCAGTTGGCAGCCCCACGTTGGGCGCCAAAATGTTACTCCTTTTTCCCTTCACGTATGGAACATAACGATTGCAAAAGATATATATTTTATTACTAACAAAATGTGAACTATATAAACTCTCGTTTTACATGTGCTCGAAGCAACTGTTAATCTATATATTGTCCCGCGAGTGTCCCACGCGTGATTCTTGCGTAATCATACAACTAAGGGCAGGGGCCCTACATTTGTAGTTCCTCTGCTTCGCCTCCGAATGTCTTAATCATGAGGTTTTCTGTCCCTTCTGCATCAAGGTTTAATTGATACTTCACTCTGGTTGTCACGAAAGTACGTTGGCTCCCACTATCCAGTATAAGTCGAGCATTTACTCTGTTTTCCTGCATTCCGGGCTTGTATATGTTGACTTTCGCTGTCTGCAACAAGATGGATGTTCTTGTGCCAACATGCATGGTTTGACTTGTAGTAGCTTGCTGCTGTTGTTGTTGTTGTTGATCTCTTTCTCTGTTCGGTTGTGCTGGTAAGTTCTTGCCACCAATTCCGGTTTCGTCCCCTTTCTCAGTCTCTGTTGCGGGCTGACGTGGATGCCGAGGTTCTTGCTGGTTGGTTGGTGGGTCAGAATTAGGGTTAGGGTGTTGTTGTCGAGGTTGGCCGCCCATGCACAGACTTCCATGATGTCGTCTAGCACATTTAAAACATTTGATATTCGATTGGCATTCCCTACTAATATGGTTTTTTCTTAAACATACAAAACACCGTCCACTTCGTTTCAGAATATCTCTCCTTGCAGCCACATTGGTCACTGTCTTGCAGTTTGCAGATAAGTGCTTTCCTTCACAATAAGAACAGGTAGTGCCATGCAGTCCCGTGAAAAGAGTAGCAGCTGTTCCCGGTTTATTTCGTTGATAACTGGACTTTGATGGAGGTAAACACTGCAGATTTGCTCTTTCTCTAGCCTCTAATTCTTGTCGAAAGATTGTCATAAGTTTATCCAAAGACCATTCATCCTCTTGCATCTTCTTTGTTACAATAATACGTAAACCCGGTGGCAGCTGTTGCATCAATATTGAGATCATTAGATTACCATATGTCGCGGTCTCTACTCCCAAAGACTTGAGACCTCTGATATGCGATTCAACCTTATTGTAAAACTGTCTAATACTTTGAACATCATGAAGGCTTGTTACTGCAGGTAGTTGAAGAAGGCTGTCCATATGCGAATTAATAATCTGTTGCTTGTCGCCAAATCTCTGGTTTAACACGTCAACTGCTTCCTGATAGTTTGCTGATGTAATCTTTAACCCAGCAATTGCTTCTGCTGCCTTTGATTCAAGTAGGGAGTTCAAATAGTTAAATTTATCAATATCACTTAGGTCAGGATTGTCATGAATAGCTGAAGTATAACCGTCCCAAAATGGAGTCCACTCCTTAATATCTCCCTTAAACTTCTTTAAACTCAATTTTGGTAGCTTTATCTTGGCCGACGAATGACTTATAGTACTAGAATTATGATAATTCCCTTCTTCTTGTGTTCCTTCTGGACTTGGTAATGGAGGTAGGCTCATAGGGCTCACTACAGAATCAATTCTGACAATTGTAGCATGTATTCTCTCTCTTAAAAGATCACTTTCTTCAATCTCCTTTTCAATATCTTTCTCCTCAGTAATAGCTAGTATATCATTGTCTAAATTTTGCAGAATGTCTAGTTTTTCCTTTAATGTAATCGTTTGTTGTAATAACTTCTCGGTAAGTTGTTTATTTGAAGGATCAAAATCGTCAAGAATTGTTGATGAAGCATTTATTGTTCTCTTAGTTGAGGTTCTATGTCCACCCCGAATCTTACGTTTCTTTGTTGCTTCTTCACTCATAATAACAATGTTACACTCTCGAATACGTGTATACTCTTTATCTAACTTCTCAAAATGTATATAAATACTTTATAATAATCCCTTTGGTTCACAGTTACTGTATATTGTTCTAAGGCGCAATTTCTCGTTTATTTCTCTTTAAAGCTCGTATATAATGATTCCAAATACTTGTAGGTGTAATAAAATCTCGTAAATTCGCTCAAATAATCGTATAGACTTACTCAGATACTCGTAGATTTGCCAATGTCTCGATGTTCGCTTTATATGACTCGTATATTGCTCAAATTCTCGTAAATATTTCACTCAATCGTTCGTAAATTCTTTCGAAGCTCGTTAATTATCTCATATGTTCGTAGATTCTCCCAAAGGACTCGTAGATTCTCCCGAAGGACTCGTAAATTCTCTCAAATAACTCGTAAATTGGCTCGTATTTCTTGAAGTGTTCTCAAAATATCAAATTTCAATCCGTTTCAATCCGGCTCAAAGAAGGACCATGTTTCATATTGAATATCCTAGATCAGGATTCGAAGATGTGTATAACAATAACCATTTAATATAATTATAAATATGTACAATACTTAGTCAGTATCAGGGCCCGCGGAGCGTATTAGAGAGTGGGGGGGGCTAAATCATCAATAAAACCCCCAATTAATTAATTTAGAAAGTTTCATTTAGATTTCTATTTTAATAATTTTGGCTGTCAAAAAAAGTGGGGGGGGGGCTAAAGCCCCCCCAGCCCCCCCGTCTCCGCGGTCCAAGTATTCCGAATATAAAGCGAATATAAACTGTTTACTTATTACAATCCCACGCCATCTTGAACAACATCAAAAGTCACGTGATAATCTACTGTCCAGTTATATGTGCGGTTCAGTGTTTCAATATATAAATCTAACATAAAGTATAGCACATACATTAATATGAGAGAAAAGGTTGACTTTATTAGACTGAAATAAGCAAGATTTCCTGTTACATAAATGATTTATACCGAGGCGGCTTTGCATGTGCTCTGCCTCTGGCAACTATGACAATCATTTATCAAGTTTTTTAAGCTAAATTAAACGATATGTATATGATTACAATGCGCGCTGAAAATTACGGCTGAAAAGTGTAGAGGTATCATATTCTGTCGACTGAATAACAGCGGCTAGCGCACTCGGTTAGCGATTAGCCCGACATCGCACAAATCCGATTTCGGTTTTCAATCGGGAAATCCCAAATCGTAGCAATTTATGGAATATTTCCGAACGCCACATACACATGAAATGTTTGTCTACCTAGAGTGACGTGTCTTATACCAAGATGTGCTCATATTACCCCTGTCCTGATGCACCTTCACTGGCTGCCTGTCAAGTTTCGCGTTGATTTTAAAATTGCACTTCTGGTATATAAAGCCCTCCACGGGATGGCGCCAGGCTACATTATGGAACTGTTGTTAGAAAAACCGAACTGCTGTTACCAACTGAGATCTGATGATCAGGGACTACTTTTTATCCCAAAAACTAGAGCCAAGACTCTTGGTGATCGAGCATTTGTGCATGCAGCTCCGTCAATTTGGAACATGCTACCTTCTGGTATTAGAAATAGTAAAACAATTGACTGTTTTAAATCTCAATTAAAGACTTTCCTTTTTAAGAAAGCTTTCGATTCTAACTTTTAGATTTATAGACACCTATACCTTAATTCTTAATATTTTAGCTACTTGTATATAGTATAACCTCATTGTTGTAAAGCGCTTTGGAATATTTTACATAATTTAAGCGCTGTATAAATCTTTATATATTATTATTATTATTATTATTATTATTATTTAAGGGCCACGAACATATACTAGGTCTAGGAGATAAAATAATTGAGGCTCGAGCGTTAGTCACTAATTATACAGGCACTGCAGCGTAAAATTTATGGCTCAATATGTTTGTATCAGACATGTGCAATCGACATAGTTATTCGCGACGTTCATGATAAGGACTATAACACTTCCAAAGCTAACTGATAAACCTATATCCTATAACTTAAGACATTTTATCATCAAACAATACATTTATACTCTATAGGCTTATTAGACTATACGAAACGCTGGGAAACAAAATCAAACATTTACTTGTTATACTATAGACTAGGTTACCCACAGGGCAGTAATGCTGCCTTTGACAGCAAAAGACAAACTACAGGGTGTTGAACGAGTCCTTCAGAAACATCCTATTATTGTTATCCTAGCCTGCGTAGCGGCTCTCACTTTCTCTGATAGCCGCTACGCAGGTAGCCTGCGGGCAGCCCCATAGTGGTATGGCGCTGCCCGCAGGCTACTACGCAGGCTATTGTTATCCTTGTTAACCCATTTATTAACAGCACGTACGGCCCTACCACTGACTGAGTATTAAAAATCGTCTGGCGTTGGACAGGGTAAATACTAAAGTAATTACTGTGCTGATGGATTAACAAGAACCATTGGCAGATAGGTTTGTTAACCCATTTACTGGCAGTACCCTGTACCACTGACGAGTAAAATTTTCTGGCGCTGGACAAGGGAAGGGCGCATTGCCAGCTAATTGGTTAAACCACCGTGGTTAAACATAAGATTTGATGCTCCAGGAAATGTAAACAAACTATCAGTGTGACATCCCAGTTTATATATTTATATACTCGGAATATTGATTTCTCGGTAAATACAAAATTATTTTAAAGTATAACAACCAGCGAAGACGTAAGCCACTAACTACCCTGCGCGGCTGCGCGCAGACTATATAATGACATATATATGTTATCCGTCCGGTCCGTCCGTCGCCATCCGTCCGTCGCCATCCGTCCGTCATTCATCCGTCCGTCCGTATCCACGTTTTATCCTAACTCGTTTTTAAAACACAAAGTTTGCATAATTAAGGCAGTGCGGTTCGTCATGATCAACATTTTCAAAAGCGGCCAATTAGACCAGGGGTTAAAGGGCAATGACAATGACATGCAGGTGACATTTAACATTGCGTCTCACTAATTAAAATTTGCGTGTTTATTATGAATGTTTATCAAAGAAAGCAAAAATATATACAAGACAATCTCACATGTGAAATTTTTCACTTACGTACTGCCTTGTGATGCAGTACAAGTATAAACACCAAATGACAAAACATTTGTAAATCCTAAAACATAATTAAATCATACGGCACATTCAAGATTTTAATATCGTATTTCAGCCGCGCGTTTATACTGCTTGGCGCATTCGCTGCGTTATATTCATTTATATACACAGAAAAGCATGTCATTGTCTTTGCGGACCATAGGCACAAAGCATTCGTCAACCACATACCAAATTTAAGCAATCGTTAAATCATATACATGTCATGGAGAGTCTGGAAAGAATATGAAAATAATGTTGAATTGAACGGAAAGCTAGCATCGCGTATAATGTTAAAAGCATATAGTGCCGAACCACTGCGTATAATTGCAAAAGCACCGCGTATATAAATGGTGAAAGCACCGCGTATAATGCTGGAACCACAGCGTATAATGCGGGAACCACCGCGTATAATGGCGAAAGCACCGTGTATAATGCCGAAAGCACCGCCGTATAATGCTAAAAGCACCCAACAAATTGCCGTTTGATCACTTTAAGCCAGCTATGGCTTCACATTACCCTCGTGAAGTTAGCTGACAATAGCACAGCTTACAAATGGCTGACAATGAAGCTAGCTTACAATAGCAAAAATCAAAATAAATACACTTTTCATGCTTTCAAAGCTTCAATAATCTCACTCTAACAATGTATTTAAGCTTTTGATATCATATCAAGAACAATTAACGGGCCGGAAACACAAAATATCAACATTTCGCGTGCCGACATTTTTCTTAGTAATTTGTATGCACTAATCGACACTTAGTCTCTGGCACGCAAATCTCCTTCCGTGTAGTGAGCACGGATTTGTGTGCACGGTAGATGGAAAATCTGAAACTACCATTCTATTCTAATATAAATTCTATCTAAAACTCTTTAGTTTCCCCTCTTCATACGAAAACTGGCCGAAGATATTCGCCCTTCAATAACTCAACAATTCACTTCGTATGTAACAGAATTTTCAGGAAACACTTATCCTTTCGCAGAAATTTGTGTGCACGGTAGATGGAAAATCGGCTGGGGTCATTCAATTCCCCATAAAATTACGCTTCTTTTCATAGTAAACTTCTATAATCAATTAAATATAGAAAACATTTTATCGCGTTCATACCTACAAGCTGACAATAGAATTTCACTTAGTTTTCTGAAAAGCGGAAATTATCGTCGCGCGTATACTGAGTACAGTTTTGTGTGCACGGTAGATGGAAAATCTGAAACTACCATTCTATTCTAATATAAATTCGATCTAAAACGCTTTAGTTTCCCTTCTTCATACAAAAACTGGCCGAAGATATTTGCCCTTCAATATCCCAACAATTCATTTCGTCGTGTAAGGGAATTTTCAGGAAACACTTATCCTTTCGCGGAAATTTGTGTGCACGGTAGATGGCAAGTCGGATAGGGTCATTCAATTCCCCATAAAATTACGCTTCTTTTCATAGTAAACTTCTATAATCAATTAAATATAGAAAACATTTTATCGCGTTCATACCTCCCAGCTGACAATAGAATTTCACTTAGTTTTCTGACAAGCGGAAATTATCGTCGCGTGTATACTGAGCACAGTTTTGTGTGCACGGTAGATGGAAAATCTGGAACTACCATTCTATTCTAATACAAATTCTATCTAAAACGCTTTAGTTTCCCTTCTTCATACAAAAACTGGCCGAAGATATTCGCCCTTCAATATCAATATATGAACGCGATAAAATGTTTTCCGATATTTAATTGATTATAGAAGTTTACTATGAAAAGAAGCGTAATTTTATGGGGAATTGAATGACCCTATCCGACTTACCATCTACCGTGCACACAAATTTCCGCGAAAGGATAAGTGTTTCCTGAAAATTCCCTTACACGACGAAATGAATTGTTGGGATATTGAAGGGCAAATATCTTCAGCCGGTTTTCGATTGAAAGAGGCAAACTAATGCGTTTTAGATAGAATTTGTATATTAGAATTTATAGTTCCAGATTTTCCGTCTATTCTAATTACGGGCCTGACCCCTCGAAAGCTAATAATGGCGAAGCTACTCGATGTTAGAGCCACATAAATTAACTAATGGCAGAGAGTCCTAAAAAGTAAAATCATTGTTAGAAATAACTTACAGTTCAACTCTAGATCATAGTTCCAAAGAATTTTGCAAACTAAGACTATATGCACTTTTTATATAACTGGGCTCTATCCAACAAATGCCTGCAGAATGTTAATGATTAAAGTTAACACTGAGTGCTATCAAAAGTGTCGGATGACTTTTACGACTATTTGCCAAACATCATTAATTAAACTTTTTATTATTATTATTATGAACTATATTTCAGCACGGTACAATTTCACCTATACTAAAATTAATTATGTACAAGATATAAAAAGAAAAAAAGGTGATCTTCCAACCGGCCGTGCTCACACAAACAGAAATAAGAAATAATGACAAGAAAATTATTTTAGGTAGATGGAAACAATGGCAGGATCACTT